CACTAAATGACCTATTGTAAAGGTAAAACTATAATAAAATCACCATAGAAGCCACAGAATTGCAATGTGATAGAAGTTATAATCTGATATCTCAGGAAGCTAATTATCAAACTGCTTCTGATGTGGTTGTAATGGTACCCACTTAAAGAGCTTTGCCTTAGTTCAGGCATGACCTGTCCTGATTCTATTCAGGTGGTTCCATATTTTTCAGGGGGGGGGGAACTGCATTCCTGGAAATTGTTTTATTAAGTGGTTGCTTAATAAGAAAAGTTTAGAAAATGTGTTCCTGCTTGCTTTATTCAGAGAACTGAAAACACAAAGAGAAAAGACTTGTTATCCTTGTCCCAAAGATGCTTTTTCAAAAGGCAACTGGACTTTGTTTTTTGTTTGCAAAAAACAAAGTCCAGTTGCCTTTTGAAAAAACGCCTTTGGAACAACCATGATCTGGCGGACTGAGAATCTCCATTAGATACTTGTTATCCTTCAAGTGTGGATGGTGAATATATAAGTACTTAGATTTAGTTCCTTACTTAACCCCCCCCCTTTTAATATTGTTGATGTGTTTAAATAATTAAAGTAATCTTATTATGGCTTTTATAGTTAAAAAGTATTTGCTATCCAAAATGTATCAGCATTTCTGTGTAGCAGTGGGCTACAAAGCATTATTAAACTAAATAAGCATATATATGTGTGTGTGGGGGGGTGTATGTACAATTTTGAGAGAAATTTTCATCTTTTAACTGTATTTATGTAGCCTGAATTATAACACTGGAGCTAATATTGAGTTCAACAGATGAATCACCAAGATATTTTCCAAGTAATTTCTTTTAGTTCCTATAAATTTTATTTTCATCAAACTTACTGCTGCACACCTTTCTACAGTGGGGGTGATCTAGAGAGAAGCTTCCCTCCTTGCAGTAGAAAAGAATAATTCACTTATGTGAACATTTACAGTATTTGTTCATATAATTAGGAAAAAATCACACAGGTATATGAGCAGTATACATATGTGTACAATTAAGAACTTTAAGGTATTAAATGAAAAGTCCACTATCCAAACCAGTCAACTGTTGAGTCACATGCCCAAAGAGTGGTGGACCACCACCACTGTAAGGTAATAGGAGTGGGCTACTAGAAGTAATGACATCTCAATTAGGCAAGGGACTCAGCTGAATCAAACTGTAGCAAAAGAAAGGCTCCCTAAGGATTGAAAGAATGTTTGTTATAAATATTTGATAGCTTTCTTTTTCTTGGAAAAAAAATGTCAGCAGATGATACTGTGAAAAAGACAACATTTGAAATAAGAAAATTTAGATTAAATAATTTTAGAATAAATATTTGAAATCGGTCTTCATAAATATAGTACAGTAATATATTCTCAATTCTAGGACTTCCCTGTTAGCATTCATATCATTCCAAAATATTATATTTAATGATTTAACTATGATATTGAAATCATAAAAGAGGTAAATTTTACAGAGGCTAATTATTACTGCACATTTAGATAGCAGCATTAAATATTTGACGTACCGTATTTCATATAAGAGAACAAGGAGAAAAATATCCATGTTCTACCAGCAGATGTTGCTACAGCAAGCTAGAAGTGAATTATGCAGGTACCCATCAGTTTATTTGCTGAATGTGTTAGCCAGTGCTGTCTCTCTCTTGACTTCTGGCACTATCTTTAAGTACACGTGCAAGTGGAATTGATTCAGAAAATCATGTTTATCTTACTATCACTTTTAGTAGAAAAATATTCCAGGACAGGATTTTTTTACTCTTTCTTTCTAAACTTTTTAAAATGAGAAAAGCTTTCCAGTTATGAAAAAAAAAATGGTCATGGATATATTTAGAGGGAAATTATTGATCTTGGCCTCACATATGAATGGTGTCCCTCAGAAAAGTTGGGTTCTGTTTTTAAAATATCCACATCAAGCAATGCATCCATTAATAGCTATTAAGCTATTTAGTTGAATATAATCCCAATATTTATTTCAATATTTGGATTTCCCCATGAGTTCTGTTTACCAGGCTATTGACTTAAGTGAACAACAAAATCACAAGTATACAGTGAAATGAAAATGTATACAAGGCATTTGAAATTAATATTCTGTTTCATATCACTGAGTTTTAAGAAAGAACAGAAATACCGGTTATTTCTCTTTAAAGCAGAGACACTGGATATTTAAAACCAAGAAGTCTCTTTCAGCGCAGACTTCACAAAAAAACTGTTGGAAATAATATTCCTGTGAGCAAAATCTAGTGAGAAAATAAGGCATATAAAATATTTCAGACATCCTATAGAGCATGGATTCCTAGGAGAATGATAAACTAATTGTATTGGCAGGATAAACATGTGGTATAGGATTAAATACTTTGAAATAAAGGTAGTCCTCGATTTACAACAGTTCATTTAGTGATGGTTTGAAGTTACGTCACTGAAAAAAGTGACCTCTGATCGTTTTTCACACGATCTTTGCAGCATCTCCAAGGTCACGTGATCAAATTTCAGATGCTTGGCAACTGACTCATGTTTATGACCATTGCTGTGTCCCAAGGTCATGTGATCATCTTTTGTGACTTTGTGACAAGGAAAGTCAATGGGGAAGCCAGATTCACTGTACAACCGTTTTACTAATTCAACAACTGCAGTGATTCACTGAACAACTGGGGCTGGAAATATCATAAAATGGGGGAAAATTCACTGAACAAACATCTCACTTAGTAACAGCATTTTAAACTCAGTTGTGGTCATAAATCGAGGACTACCTGTAATTTGAATCAATAGAATCTGCTCAATTTTTAGCTGTCTCAGACACATAAGTAGTAGAATTTTTCTTTGGTTTGCTTTCCTGATGTTTGTGCACAGTTTTGTGATTCAGCTACCTTATTTCACATTCTGAGCCATGCTACATTCTTGCTGATGAAGTATACCACCAAATTATTGCAAACATGTCTCTATTACTTACAAGAAAATATCTCAAGTACTGGTAGATTATTCCTTGCATTGGATACCGTGCTCAAAGTATCCGAATGCTCTTCTGTAACAGTGCAGAGGGGAAAAAAATAGTACATGCTATTTAGACAGCTGTTCAGATTCTGCTTCTTGCCTCAACATTTTTGCTTTCTGAATACACTTCCAGCTGGCGCAAACATAGTCTGGAGTGGAATTAAGCCTCAGCCAAATAAATGTTGCCTGTGAAGATCAGCAGGAGTAAAGAAGAGAACAGAAATGCATGCACAAGATAGAAGTGAAATAACATCATCCAGCATCTGCTATTTTTTTCCCTGAATAAAACTATAGTTTTAACAAATATCTTAACATTTGGTGGACAGTGCTGGATTACGTACATAAAACTTGCAGATATTAGGAATCACTACTAGGGATTTTTAAAAAAATTGTGCTATGGATGCTCATTGGGAGTAATCTCAGGCATTTCATTTACAGTGGATCCATGATAAGATGAAAGCTAATAGAAAGAAAGTCTGGTTCCTATGGTGATTTATGAGAAAGATTGGACTAATGAACTTACTTTTTAAATGTGAGAAATTCAACCTCTCTTGTAGCGCAGAGACAATAATTTGGTTCTCAACAAAACTAAGACCAAGGAGCTTATAGTACAGGGGTGTCAAACTGCTGGCCTGCAGGCTGGATGCATCATGCAGAAGCCACACCCACCCCAGCTCTGGCAATGGGAAAAAAGTTGTGATATGTCGCAACACGTCACATTATGTGGCGAGTTTGACACCCCTGTTATAATAGATTACAGGAGGAATAAATCAGACATTCAGCCCCTGATCATCAGTAGAGACTGTGTGGAGAGGTGGCAAGCTTTAGGTTTCTGGGTGTCACTATAAAGGAGGACCTGACCTGGAGTGCTCATGTTATAGCATTGGTTAAGAAGGCCCAGCAGGGATTATATTTCTTGAGACTTCTCAGGAAACAACAACTGAATGAAAAACTGCTGGTGATTTCTACCATTGCTCCATAGAAAGCATTCTAACCTATTGCATTTGTGTGTGGTTTGCTTGCTGCACAGTAGCAGTTAGGAAAGCGCTCCAGAGGATCATTACCATCGCCCATAGGATTATTGGCTGCTCTCTCCTTCCTCCCCCCCCCCGGGATGAACTGTACAGTTCCCGTTGTCTTAGGAAAGCTCAAAATATTCTTAAAGACTCATCTGATCCCAGACATTCTTTTTTTGAACTATTACCATCTGATAGATGGTACAGGATAATAAAAACTAAGACAAATAGACTGAAAAATATTTTATCCCAGAGTTGTAACCATATTAAATATCACTATATAGTGCAACATTGAAATGCAATATTAGGGGCAGCGCAATGGTGAATAGAATGTGAAAGATGTATGTATATAACATATGTTCTTATTTGTGGTTTTTACTTGTGTGTAGTGTGCACTGTGGTCAGCACTTAATTTCATTGGGAATTACACAATGACAATAAAGATTATTCTATTCTATTCTATTCTATTCTATTCTATTCTATTCTATTCTATTCTTATTCTACTCTATTCTACTCTACTCTACTCTATATATCTTTCATATTTTGTTTTCAAACTATAAATTATCCTGCGTCTCTTACAATGGAATATATACCGCTTAGAGAGTGCTTGCACTTAAAGCGGTATATAAGTCTCATAAATAAATAAATAAATAAATAAATAAAATAAAATAAAATAAAATAAAATAAAATAAAATAAAATAAAATAAAATAAATGGAACAAGATTTTTGACCTAAATTTCTGATTTTACTTTCTGGATTCAATGATAACACAATTGAATATAAACAAATTGGCTTACTAAGCCACTGGTTCCTGATTGATTCCACTTGAAGAGCCATGGTGGCGCAGTGGTTAGAAGGCAATATTGCAGGTTAATTCTGCTGAGTGCCAGCAGTTCAATTCTTACTGGTTCAAGGATGACTCAGCCTTCCATTCTTCCAAGATTGGTAAAATGAGGATGCAAATTGTTGGGGGCATGCAAATTGTTGGGGGCAATATGCTGATTCTGTAAACTGCTTAGAGAGGGCTGTAAAGCACTGTGAAGCGATATATAAATGCTATTGCTATTTCTATTCTTCTCCCTCTTGCTCTCACGGTCAATTCAGGTTGCTGAATGTTTTCTTACAAACTGTCTTCTTAAGCAGTTCACGGGTGTTGGGGATGTAGTTTCTCAGAGGTTTGGTAGTGAAGGCAGCTTACCTGCGTAGGAGGGAGTATAACACAATATAGATTTAAAAGGCAAAAACCTGCTCCCAAAAGCAGACACATAAATGGAGTGTATTTACTCTGGTTCACTTTACACTAGACATTATAAGAAAAGGTATATTTGCCATGTTTTTCTTAACCATTTGAAATCATTCTTTTACATTTTAAATTGCCTTTTTTAAAATTTAGCATTTATTTATTGTCTGAATATCAATTAAGCTATCAAAAAAAATTTCTCTACCTTTTTTGTTATGAATTTGTGCTAGTCCTTTGCTGTACAACATTGAATGGACTGAGTTGTAAGTTGTCCAATTTACAAAATGTGGAAAGGATATGTTTTGGCTGGAAATAGCAGATGGGGATTTTTTTATGTAGGATTTTATTTTTGTTGATGTTTTAATATCTTGTTTAACATATATTCTTCCTATATATTTAGAGGTGACTAATCTGTAGCTTGATCTAATCCTGAAAACACACATACCAAATTCTATCACTTCTCTTAAATTTATCAGAGTTGGAGATAATAGAAGTGGCAATAATTCTAGCAATGGATATAATGCTCCCATCCATATCCAAGCACTTGGAAGATTGGCTTACCTAATTAAGAGCTGAGCTAAGGAATCAGACAGTAGGGCGGAAATACATTCATTTCCTTGGAACAGGACAATAGTGTTAACAGGAAGCTGAAAATTTGGCAGATATATTCACAGATGCCTATCTTCAACTTGAGTCTGGGATATCTGTAGCAGCAATTTGCAATGTTAGTCTCTAAAACAGGAATGTCAAACTGCCAGCCCATGGGCCAGTTGCATCATACTGAGATTGCACCCACCCCAGCTCTGGCAATGCAAAAAATGTCGCAATACATTGCAACACATCACGTGATGCGGCGAGTTTGACACCTATGCTCTAAAAGAACAAGTTACTAAATGGTTAATAAAACAGCTACTTTAGATTTACTAATTGGTATTATGTAGTAAGTTAGTAATTTGTTAAATCTATTTTAAATGGCGGCAATGGATAATTAATTGCTATGGTTTACCACAAAGGATTTTTAAAGCTCTCTGGAGAAACTATTAATTTTGCTAAGTGATATATGAAGTGGTGAGTGAGGGACATCCAAATGGTTTAGAAAATAAAATAAAATAAAATATGAAATAAATCCTCAATTTCCTGCTACAACAAAAGCTACTGAAATGTAGCTGCTTTTCTGTTTTGGGGACATGGTTATTCATGCTGAGCAAAGGAGATATTTTTGCATCTAGAAGTGAATTTATGGTTATGCATTCATCAGGAATTCAAGGTAGCTCTTTAATCTCTACGGATTTCTGATTTAAGAAATCCTTAGGCAAGACATAATCATATTTGTTCTTTTTCATTTGCTTTATACTGTCAAATGCACATCACAAGAGTAGCTAGAAAATGTTATTCCTATTGCCCATTCCTTTAATCTAGCCTTTGGTACTGGAAGTTGTGTGTTCTTAATGTGAAATTCTTTTAGTAAGATAGGTTTTTAATCAATGCTGTCACTGTATACATCTATATTTACACTTTTTTGAGTTAATATTAAAACTGGATTCACAATTCTGACATGTTTTTTCTATTTACCACAGGATGTTTGTAGCCCTATATCCTCTTCTATGAAACTGAACTTCTAATAATAACATACATGTAACAATATTTTACCTACTTACATTCTTCAATCCATAATCCAGAATTCTAGTTTGGCAGAAATCCCAGAGAACAATTTCAACAGGGAGAGATGCTAAGACCTAAATATGATCAGGAAAAATCAGAGGCACAATTATTAGATGTGGAGGGACCAGACTGGACAGCAGAATATACTGAAAAGTACCTGCATGCAAACATAGAAATAAATATATTAGTGATATTGACACTGATAATACCTCCCTATTCTTTATTAATCAGCTGTTTATTTGACTGCATTATTAACCAGCAATATTTTGTAGCCAACACAATGGACAGTATTTTCAAAGGCAGGAATGAGAGATGTGGCAATGAGGTGAATGTGGCAATGGCACAATATTACCAAAGAAGCAGAATTGGAATTTTTTAACCTTTTTTCACAATTTGACAGCTTTTGATATGTATGTATGTATGTATGTATGTATGTATGTATGTATGTATGTATGTATGTTTTCTGAGGTTTTCGCGGGTGTTTATATGTAGGTCTTTGGTTATTCAGGTTTTCTCCCGTGTAAAATTTTACGTATACATATAGATATAGGTCTTTGGTTATTCGGGTTTTCTCCCGCGTAAAATTGGAAGTGTCTTGGCAACGTTTCGACGAAGTCCCATTCGTCATCTTTAGGCTGGTGCTTTCAGCTTCTTGCTTCTAGGAGCAATGTATGATCGTAGCTGTTTCTTCCTTTTAACTGCTAGTGGAGGTATGAACTGATTGAATGGGAGCTTAGCTATGTTCTGATTGGGTGGAGGTGTGTTCTGATTGGTTAGGGGGTTGGCTGTGCTCTGATTGGCTGGGGGTTGGCTGTGCTCTGATTGGCTGGGGGAGTGTTCTGTTTGGGTGGGGGCTTTGTTGTGCTCGGGTTAGTCTTAGTTGCAGGGGGATTTGAGTTGGTGAACTGCATTGCTGTTGTTCGGCTTCGGCTTTGCGTTCATGGTCGTGCCTCATCTTCATGGTGGGTGTCATATATATACATACATACATACATACATACATACATACATACATATATATATATATATATTAGAAAAAAGTTTTCTGCAAAAAAAATCAGGAGATCACTCGTTAGCCACTATTCTACAGTTTAGAAAGCTTTGGGGAAGTGCAAAAAATGCTATTTCTAGAAACAGAAACATAATATTTAGATTATTCAGGTAATACAATGAAAAGCTTTTTTAAAAGAGGAGCTGGGAAAATATTATTTCAGAGAACAATATAGACCAGGTTAATATATTATTATGTCTGCCACAGTAGATCAATCTTTTAACTGCATTCGCATCTTAGTCTGCTACAATTAGTTCATTTTCCAACAGTTTCCAAAGAGTTTCCTGTTTATGGAAGAGCAGGGAATAAATGTCTTGTTTATTAGACTTGATACAGGTAGTCCATGACTAGCAGCCACAACTGAGACTTGAATTTCTGTTGTTAACGAAGCAGTTATTAAATACGTCATGCCAAATTTTATTACTTGTTGCCATGGTTGTTAAGCAAATCACTGCAGTTGTTAAGTGAATTACATAGTTGTTAAGCAAATCTGATTCCTCCATTGACTTTGCTTGTCATAAGGCAGCTGGGAAGGTTACAAATGTGATCACATGACTCTGGATGCTGACATCAAAAATACATCAAAATAAATATTGGTTATGTGACAGTGGGGATGCTGCAATGGTTGTAAATATGAGGACCAATGCCTTTTTCAGTGCCTTATAACTTTGAATGGTTGCTAAAGGAATGATTGTTAGTTGAGAACTACCTGTAATTGAAATTATATTTATGCTATGGTGCTCAGGAATGTAGAATCCTTCATTCTGTTCTAAAACTCTTTTTATAGTGCTCTAATGGGTTAATATTCTGAAACTTCTAGGAGTGATATAAAGACAAAAAACTGTAATGATCCTACCTCAGAGCTTTTTTCTGGGGTCCAAAGTTTACTTATAGACTTATGTCCATTGGAGTCATTCTCTCTCCCCCCCACACACACTTCTATTTTGATCAGAAACTCATGCTATATAACAAAGTGCTTTAAAATATTTGTGCATGTGTGTGCTTAAGAAACCAGAGGGAGCTTTTTGAGAAATGCAAGCTAAAATTTCCACCATTAACTTTACAGTACTTTAGATCCCATCCTGTAACAGTAGAGGCAAATTTCAGCAGCAAACTGCCAACATAAACCCAGCCTTCTTTTTCTATAATTTTTCTTTAAAAGATATTTCATCAGTGAAATATTCTGGTTATGCAAGTATGCATTCCATATCTGTATAGCTACCACAATAAAAAAATGCACTTGAGAGTATTCTAAGAATATTTTATATCCATGCAAGAGGAGATAATTTTAAATAAAAATTAGTAAACATTGGTATGGAGCCTAAAAGTCTTTATTATCATGCTTAAGCAATGCTTCATCTCATGATCATAATCTATGAATTAAAAATAAAGGAACAAAAATGAGAATGTAATGAGAAAAACAGATTTATTATGCCTTCAGCAGTTTGATGTCTCCACTTTAAAGGAATCATCTTTGGAGGTGAATGATCAGGTAATCTTTCTACTGTGATAATTTTAATAAAGCATGGACTGACATTTTTTAACATTCCCTGTTAGAAATTTAAAAAATCAAGAGTTGCCAGTAATCATATACTATTGAAACAATGGCTGTGCATGGATGAGAAATATTGGGCTAAATTTGCACCTTTCAGAAAACATTTAAAATATTTTCAAAGATACTTCTCATTTCCTGTAGACAATGAAGCATTATATCAATGGACAGGGAGAAATTCTTCCCCATCACTCAACATCAGATTTATTTAAATTACTTCTATCATCAGAAAGTTTGTATTACTGTTTGGTTGTTCAAGACTGTGACAGAAACTCATTTTTATGATAGTGCTGTAGCCAAGTTCTAAGATACTCTATTCTGGCAATGGATAAATGCCTCTAAGCAGGCATAAGAAACCATTTGAAAATCATGTTTTTAAAAAGTAAGATTAAAACTAACACATTAACTTATATTTTCCCTGTAAGATGGAAAGCTTATGTTGTGATTATTTCTTGAGGATTTAGCAGGATTGATATTTAAAGAGGGCAGGAGAGCAGTCATATTTTGTATTAGTAGTCAATAATATATGACTGTTAATAAGAAATGCTGATATCTCTAGTTATTGTAAATTTTAAAAATGTGGGAAATAACAGATGAATTGAGACAGACAGACAGACAGACAAACAAACAAATAGGCAGGCAGGCAGGCAGAGAGACTTTTAACATTTATGCATATCTAGCCAATCTTCCAGCATATCAAAATCAGTCCAGAATGGAGTAGCTGTCTATGCTTCCAAATTAAAATATATCCAACCATTCAGTTATAATATTTATAGTGGCTGAATGAATTATAAATTTATATTTTTCCACCTAATCTATTTTGAAACTAACCTTTATTTTATTACTGCCTCTTATATTTCATGCTGTCTTTATTTCCAATGTTATATTATAGCCTAGGTATTTCCTTGCTGGAAACAGGGAAGGAAGGAAGGAAGGAAGGAAGGAAGGAAGGAAGGAAGGAAGGAAGGAAGGAAGGAAGGAAGGAAGGAAGGAAGGAAGGAAGGAAGGAAGGGGTTTAAAAATTGTATTTAAAAATTAATCCACCACATGGTGTAAAATTGAAATATATACAATTTCTTACAAGCTTTTGAAATACAATTGTAGCACAACTTAACAGAACATCTAGTTTTAAGGGCAAATATTTTGAGAGGTTTACTATAGCATGAATCAGAAAATTTTGAGAGCTAATTCCATTTCCTAATAAGGAGTTTAAACAGAAAGTATACAATTGAAATATGAGGTGTTGCCACAGTATCCACTAATTGGTTCTCTCCTCTTAAAATTGCACTTCCTTCTGAATAGCTATTCTGTGTCTTAAGAGGAATGCTTGGAGGAAGTGTAAACTCCAGTGTAAAACTTCAGTAGTATAATATTCAAGCAGCCAGATGCCTACTGAAATACGCTTTCAGAAAATTTGCCCTTGCTGCTTTCACAAAACCTATAGCTATTCCCATTTACTCTTCATTCTCCATCCAGTCTCAAACTTTTTTTCTCACTTAGTCGTAGGGACATGATATCAGGCTCCCAATTCTGCCTGAATGTACTTGATGCTGTTATTTCCATGAACAAAGTTAAAAATGGTACATTGGCACACTCATGTAGCACCTAAAGCAGTCTGGTATTAAAATATACAAATATGGAGAGCATGGCAATTTGATTGACTAATTATAAGATGATGTATATTGTGAAAATGACAAGATATATCACAAAAGGCAATAATTAAAGAATGAAGAATGACAGCTGTTTGGCAAAACCTATAAAAGAAAGCCTATTCATTAAGGAAAATTCTAACAACATCAGAAGGGTATACCAGAATAAAACTGTAGGAGAAAACTACAGTAAAATAATTAGAAAGGCAATATTATTTTGAGAGTACGTACTATAATCACAGTGCCTATGGTGCCCTGGAGATTACAACTAGAAAGATCAATTTTAAAATAATCCACCTCAGGAAATAATGGAAGAACCCTATCAGGCAGTAATACTGCCAACTGGTGGATCACACACTTGGGGAAGGGGCAGTTGTATTCCTGTTCCCCATACTTTTTATGTAGCACGCTGCTTAATTTGGGGGGGGGGCAAATCTCTGTAACCAAATCAGTTTTAGATGCACTTGAGGCTGCTTTTCAATGCAGCCAGCAAGTAAACTAAAAAAGAATCCAAATTTATAGAACAAGTTAAATGTGGCATGGAGTCTCATCCATATCCCATATTAGACGCTACAAAATGTCAAAGCCAGAACACTATTTCTTTGCTTTTATCTAATAGAGCAATACATACTTAGAATTCAATGCTATCCAATATTTCATTGGCAAATGGTCATAACAGAATTCTGAAAAGAATTTCAACACATTCTTAAAATGTTTGTCTTTGGAACCATATTGCATAAACATAAATGGACTTCTTATCAATATTTTTGTGTTTTTCAGGAAACTTAGAAATAAAACCAGCAATGCACAGCTATTGGAATG